CAATCATAATCATCATCATCAATGGCGAGTACCGCCACCCTGTTCTTCATCCTCCTCTCCTCAGTTTTCATTTCCACCACTTCCATCGCCGCATTAGCCCCGTCTCTCCAACCATCGCCGCATTCTCTCTTCGCCACCATTCTCTCCAATCTTGGATTCCAAGATCTCTCCTCCGCAACCGCCGATGCCAACCTCTCCATTGCCACCCCCACCACCATCTTCGCCACCACTGATTCATCCCTTCTCACTTGTCCCTCCTGCTCCATCCCGCTCCTCCTCCAAGAACACTCTCTCCCTGGCCTGTACCCTCTTCATTTTCTCCGCACTTTAGCCTTCGGTACCAAGATCGAGACTTTCGCCCCCAACCGCTGCCTCACCATCACTTCCACCCACTCCGCCACCAGTTTCGCCACCAAAAAAGTCTTCATCAATGGCGTCGAAATCACCAAGCCAGACCTCTTCAACAATGGACTTCTCATCATCCATGGCCTACAAGGGTTCATCTCCCACTTATCTCCACTTTCTTGCAGAGTTGAAAGAATGACTTCTCTGTCATACCCCCGAAACCTGCCGCCTATCGCGGCGTTCGTCATGATGCGCCTGATGCTAAAAGACGCCATGATGAGACTGCGCATTAGTGGATACAGTGTGCTGGCTCTGGCAATGCGGGTCAAGTACCCGGAACTCTCGGACCTCAAGTCAATGACCCTTTTCGCTCTAGACGACTCCTCCATCTTCGCCGGCGGCAGCGGCCACTCCTACGTGGCGGATCTTGGGTTCCACGTCGTGCCCAACAGGTTGTTGATGGCGGCAGACTTAGTAAGCCTGCCAAAGGGGACGGAGCTGCCAACTATGGAGAAAGGGCAGAATCTGGTGATCACCACCGCCGGCGGCAGCGGTCGATTGGCGCCAATGAGGATCAATTACATGAAAATCAAGAACTTTGATATGGTGCACAACAAGAAGATTGTGGTTCATGTACTGTCAATGCCGTTCCCGCGGCTGAATCCGACGGGTTTTGCACGGACAGAAAAATCAAGATTAGGCGTTTCTGAGAATGGTGAAGTCTTTGACATGATTCCCCCATTATCGGCGGGAATTTCATCGACAGTTGACGATATTAACAATCATGGTGGTGTATGAAACTTTTAATTCAAAGTTGAGTTGTGGCTAGAAGGATTTGTAAATTCAATTTTAGCATTAAATTTACTTCTGTTTTCATGCTTGTTCTGCAATTCATATGATCAAGATTACTCTGTTTCAATTGATGAAATATAACTCTTTTCTGTTTTCTTTTATACTGTTGTGTCCTCAATTTCCATTAGAACATATTTAACGCATATATTGTTAATACTTAAATTGAGGTATCATATTGATGGAGTATCGACTAAATTTCACTCATATTTGCACTTCAAGCTCAATTATCTTAGTTTGATTCAGCTAAAAAAGTGATTTAAAATTAAATTCAAAATCAATAATTAATTTTAATCAAATATTTCGAGGGATCTATAACTTTTCACTCACATATCCTATCATCTTTTATAATAATCTACTAAAAATCTATTTTTTATCTAAACCAAGCACGGGCTTACTTATTTTCCAATTATCTAAGTCATATTCACTTATACTTAGTTTGGTTTAGCTATAATTTTGATTTTTAGTAAATTTTGATAAAAAATAATGAAATATGTGGTTGAAAAGTTGATAAACGTGTGAATCTCATAAAATGTGCTTTTGAAATTGTTAACTTTGATTTAAATTTTATATCTACCTTTCTATTTAAACCAAACACGAGATAAATTTATTTTCAATTGGTGTTACCATTGCTTTGTTAATCAAACATTCATTTTAACAGCTTTACTTTTATAGTGTTCATCTTTAGGACATTTTATCATTTAACGACTCACACTCGGTACACTTAGTTCCTGTTCGATGTAAATTAAAATTAGATTTTTAGTAGATTTTAATAATATTGATGGAATCTGTGATCAAAAAGTTATAAGTCTCATGAAATTTATGATTAAAATTAATTATTGACTTTAATTTCAAACTTTAAGCAACTTATAATTTATATCAAATAGTGGTTAAAGTATGGCTGGTCTAATATCATCTTTTCGAATTTGTTTAGCTATGAGGATTGTGGGTGAGCCCAAGTTGTATTGAAGATTGTGAGATAAGCCCACTCATTTCCAGGCCACAGTTGTGTAACCAATTGATCCGTGTGTTAGTTTGGTTCATTCATTTTAAAAACTGGGCTGAAATGAGTTTGAGCCTAGCTATGGAAATTAAAAATGAGGAAATGAGGCAAGTACTAGGTTGAAAACACATAATCATAATAACGTATTACAATTTGTCCATGATATTTACCATTGTACACAAGATTCTGAAGTATTTCCAATTAAATGATAATCATACTAATTACATCTCGAGATAATTGGCAACCAAATGATTTTATCATAAATAAGTTTGGCTGAACTTGGTTGACGAGAAGTTGGAAATGTCGAGAAATATATGTCGATTTATAATCCATACTTGATTAGTAAGGTAGATTTTATTGACATCTTTGGTATGCTGGATTCAATAGTACTGAAAATTTAATTGAAATTATTTTTCAAAATTCTCTTCTCTTTACTTTTATCTATTGTTATCTGGTCGAGTGTTGCAAAAATTTCCATAGATCCTAAAGGGAGAGAGAGATTTTTTGCATAGGGTTGTGAAGACTAGAATTTATTTCTCTTCTCGTTACTTCTATTTAGTCTTGCTCATAGCATATCAAACATGTTTAAAAATCCTGAAGGGGTAAATAAAATTTTCATCATGGGTTCGAAGACCATCACACAATGAATGATTTTTCTTCACCACATAGGGTGAAAGTTGTGTGGGCTATTGATAGCCAGAATCTTAAGGTGACAATTGATCTGACCACGTGGGTTCCATTACATATCTTGTGTAGGCCGCTTACATAACAGATGTAAAATGCAAAGATAGAGAAGTTGCACTTGCCACTGGTGTCCTTCCAAATATGAACCATACACTATAGTTGAAAAGCATTAGTGGTAGTTTTAAAGCAACACTCAATTGGCCATATCAGGTGGCAAAACATCCATATATTAGTGGTCTAGTTTCCTTTTTCTTTGAAGGCACTCGAGTGACGTCATGGAGTCACCCATGAGTTATGTATACAAGTTATGTTCAGTATGAAATATAAGGTTGGACTGAATACGTCATAACAGTTCAATAAATAGAAATTTAACTCTTTTTTTCTCATTTAGCATTGTCTTGTAATGTTCTGTTAAAACTTGAGGTTCGTCTTAATAAGGTCAACCTTTATTAAGAGAGGTAACCCAAAATCTTTTTAAATTAGTCAATATTTCGTTATTTAACCGATATAAAATTTTTATCCCTTAACACGTCCCCACAAGATGGTGGCTCGTTTGAGCGGACCAATCTTGCAATCCGTTGCTCATTAATTGAGACTTATAATCGGATCGAATCGCTCGTTGGAGTTTAATGGGCTCTGATTCCATATTAAAATTTGAGATCCATCTTAATAAGATCAACCTTTATTAAGAGGATAACCCAAAATCTTTTTAAGTTGGTCAATATTTCTGTGTTTAATTGATATAGAATTTTTATGTTAAGCTTTAGGGTCCATCTTAATAAAGTCAACCTTTTAAGAGGAGTGATCCAAAATTTATTTAAGTTGGTCAATATTACGATATTTAATCGATGTGAGATTTATTCTCTTAATATGTCCCTGCAAGATGGTGGCTCTTTTTAAGCAGACCAATTTTGAAATTCGTGTGCTCATTTTTGAGACTTAACCGGATCGAATAGCTCGTTGAAGTTTACTGGACTCTGATATCATGTTAAGATTTGAGGTCCATCTTAATAATGTCAACCTTTTAAGAAGAGTGATCCAAGATTTATTTAAGTTGATCAATATTTCGATATTTAACCGATGTGAAATTTATTCCCTTAATATTTTCGATCCACATTTTTAGATATACAAAGAGAGTCTATGTGGTGACTCATGAGTTTTAAAATTTGTGATGTAGATTGTACCGAAACACATGCGAATCTTAATATCATTCGAATGGGGAATTTTATTCCACAGATGGTCTAACCTTTCTTATCAATTGTTGGCCCCGTGTCATGGCTACGTAAAGCAGATTAGCCATTTTGGATCCACTCCTTGTATAGGTACCACATGGTGAGTCTAAACCCTAATTCCAAGCTAGAATAGCTATCACATTATTGGGTTGTACAAGTGACTAGATAACATTGTCTGCTTGTACACATCCTTCATTAATTTCTTTTTGATGAATACTCCTATGTTGTTAGATAGGTCATGTCTTATGACAGTCCTGGACTTTAGTCAAGTAGACTCTAAGTTCATTTTAATTTTTTCGTATGTAAAAAATAATTTTTATGGATTTTATTATTATTATTTTTTTAATCTATGAATTAGGCCAGTACCAAAAAAATCTCCCCCCCTCCTTGCCATTGTTTGTCTTGATTATGCACCAAATTTTTGTCCTCAAATTTCAATATTGGAAGGTAAGATTTTGTTGTATGGGATCGATCAATTAGTTCACATTGAAAAGCAAATACTTTTGATCATCACCACCTAAATGCTAAATTTGAGAAGAAGACACAGGAGGAGTGCTGACTTTAACATTTCTTATACCTTTTCTTGCTTGTCTCAAATATCTAGATACTTGATCAGGTTAATCTCCATTATATATTTGTGAAAATGATATGCAATCTTTTTTATTTTATCCTTTAATGATTGTGTTTGCTCTTTCACACGCTCACGCATACCTAATCTCAAATACAACTAGTTATTGATCATAGAGAAAGTTACCTTTTAATTTGAATCAATTGAAATCTACATCCATTTATCTATTGCGTTCTTAAGAGTGGCGCGTTTACAATCTGCATAAATGTTTTATTCATTTATTTATTTTTCTTTTGAGTAAATTGCAGTTGTTGGCCCAAACATTTACCTATTTTTGCACCTCTCTCTCTCTCGCTCTCTCTCTCTATATATATGTATATGAAGAAATAATATCTATACACACAAATTCAGCGTACTCTTTCAAAGAGTACCTTGGCAATATGAAAATTTATAGTTCCCGGGCTAGAATAGGCAGCATAGTAGAAACTCCTAGCAACATTAAGAAATGTTTTCTTAGTGTCGGTATCAATGTCGTCTGAGGATTTGGTATACACTAATTTTAGTAGTTCTTGCATGTCGGATTCTATTTGGACGGTTGTGATGCAGCCATTTGTACCAGTTACCTGTTCCACATGATAACATTATAAGTTGGATTGTAGTGAACATGAATAAAGAAGATCAATTGGTAAATTGGTCCTTCACCTTTTTGTGTTGACACAGACGAAGTCGATGACACACTCTATTGGTGATATCCAAGAGTTGTTGATATTTAGGCTGAGATGATAATAACTCATGTGACGCCCAGTGATTATTGAGATCACTGATCAAATTTAGAGTACGCACGAGCAACTCTGCTTCTCCTTGGCCCACGTCACTACCACCTTCCCAGCTCCGTATCCATTTATCCCACTAAAAGAATTATATAACAAAAATAAGAGAGAGAACTTTTGTTGAAATAATTAAGAAAGTAAAAAAGAAACAAAAAAGTAGAAGGATAGTTATATTGCCACCACAATTTTTATTTAATACACCACATTTCGGTTACAGTTAAACTCGTCAGTTTTCGCTCATTTCATTAATTAGAATGTCCCGTCCTTGATGATGATTTATATCAAAATATTTTATTTTCATACTTTGAGATGAGAGGAAAAAGTTTTTTTTGCACTTTTTATTTATTTATTTTTTAAAAATATGATGGAAAATAAGTTTTTTATGTCATTTCAACGGAATTTTGGACATAAAACTATTATCAAATATGGTGAAATCATTAGACACATAAATGTCATAATGAGTAAGGATTAAGAACCTCAAAAATACTAGCAAGTTTTGTAGTAATGGCAAGTTTGAGAATAAGAATGACACGAAAAATCGTTAGAGACATAAATGTTATAATGAGTAAGGATTAAGAACCTCAAAAATAATGGCAAGTTTATGGATAAGAATGAGTAAGGATCAAGAACCTAAAAAATAATGGCAAGTTTTGTAGTGATAACAAGTTTGAGGATAAGAATGACATGAAAAATTCGTTAGAGACATAAATGTTATAATGAGTAAGGATTAAGAATCTCAAGTGCAAATAAAATATTGTGATCGAAATAGAAATTGTGATGTGAATATGATTACTCAAAGTATAAACATATCTTCGTCTGTGGCTGGTTCGGACCAACCTTACACGATTTTTGTGTATCATCCAACTTGCTTCACACCATTATATTGTCCATTCCTAATTAAACATTCAGGTTTCGTCTAATATAATAATTGAACAATTTATTTCACTAGACTCTAGTAAATTGTATTATAAATTCTATTAAATTTGTGTATTTTAAAACCCATATAGCCGTTTTGATTATAAGTTTAAATTTGAAAAGTTTATTAATTTAAAATGAGTCAAAAGAAATCAAATTGGGAAAAGGGCTTACCGCCCGATGCAATTGTTGATTAACGTCTCTTCCGTAAGCCAACAATGTATCCAGTGAGAGCTGGTTTAGGGTTCCAAGTAGAGTGTCTACCAGTCTGTGTCTTGTTCTGTACCTTTGAATCAAAAGCCAACGCTCAGAGTAAATGATATATCCAATTCAAGATGGCTTTTCACATATAAATTTGGAATAATCCCCTTACGCGCCACATAACCCCACGGACAATAAGGGGGTTGTTCAAGCAGCACAACCCTATACATTTATATATCAATCATGCTAGTGTGCTAGAAATTTTTTGATACCCTAATTGACATATACTCACAATAGGAGTAGGTGGAGGTATTTTTTATTCACGCGGGTCTCACGCATATATGAGAATAAGTCATTCAAAGTGTCAAAATTTTCCTGACAAGTTGGCTTAATTCTTTATGTATATCCAGGGAGTATTGTTATTTGTACGTTATTTGTACCCGGAGTTTGACACTTCGGGTTACCTGATGTGAGTGAGGGGGTTGGGCCCCACACATTTATTGGCGTGGGCCCTCAAACCCCATGTGAGTAGCAGGTAACTCAGAGTGTCAAATTCCGGGTACATGTAGCAAAACTCATATCCAGGGGCCAACACAGAGAATGGGGTGGGGTCAAACTAGGTTGGGGTAGGTGGTGGTTTAACAATTTGGCCTTTGGATATAGAGTACCGGCTCATTGATAGGATTTTATACAAATATATACTTGACAAAGTTTCATTGACAGTTAATTTTTATTTTAAAAAGATTATCAATCAAAAACTACCATTTCAGCCCCGCTGTTTACAGCCCATATCATTGAACCTGCTCAACTAGTTAATCCTTCGATATATGGTCAAGAATGTATGTACAGTCATTCGAGGTAAATATTGTCCATTTACGTGACTTTGCAATGCTCGGCTAAACAAATTAAATTAGAGACATGTGAAACATTTGTATGTAAATAAGGAAGAAATTTATATTTATCGATGGTAAAGTTACCTCCTTCCATTTGCATAGTTGAGGTCGTTTCCATGTAAAAACTCATCAATAAATGCTTTTTTGTGAATAGGTTTCCGATCAAAGTACGAAGCAATGGTCTCCATTAGAATGGTGGTTTTAGCCCAAGCTAGCCGCTCTTTTGACTTCTCTGGCTCAAAATAACTCGCAGTAGCCAAATAGTATGCTAGGAGAAGGTTTCCTTCGCTCATTCCAAACTCTCCAAGATCGTACTTAGTGTACCATCTGCAAAATAATAATACACGTCCAAAATAATAATAAAAATTCGAGAAAAATAATATTAAATGGAAATGGATTTAAAATTTTACTTCTGAATGCTTCTCCACTCGAGCTGGTGCAATTCCTGGCAATTATTGTAGTCCAATTTTGCTAGCTCAAGATACGTGTCGTTGTTAACATATCCCATCCTAAAGATAACAACAGACACAGGAGAACAAATTATAGGCATAATTCTTACTCATTTCAAGTTACATTTTAACATAATAAAATATATGTTATTACTTATATGATTTTGTCTCCATCTGTTTAGTTTTTCCTTGGTTTAATCAAACGGCCGACTTAAATGTTAATACCTACAACTTATAACTTGTTTTATGTCTCAAATTCTTCAATGACGGTGCAAAATTCGACTTACTTTATGAAGAATATTTACATTCATATATCTAAGCCCCTGTTTGATCCCTATTTTTGGTAATGAAAATGGGGGGAATAGTGTTTTGTTGAAAAAAATGAGTGGTTGAAAAAGAAGGAAAATTTTTCGATTTACGTGTAATATTATTTTATGGAAGATTGTGTGGTTGAAAATAGGAGAGAGAAAAATAGAATATAATGTAATGTAATTTAATGGGGATCAAACAGGGGCTAAATACTTAAAAGTCTCACTGTGAAAAATATATATAAGAAAAGGATATTTAGTTTGTACTATTAATCATTTTGAAAAGTATATGTACAAAGTCTTGTTGTACCTGTACAAAGTTTTGCCGATCCAAACGTCATCTTCACCACCGTATTGTTCCAAGTAAAATCTTGTTTCCACCCGAGGTAAGCTGGCATACCACGACACATCTAGTGCATATCCGACCTAACATTATTTGTCATCATTCCATGTTACTTATACTAAAATGACCCAACAAAAAATGTTTGAAATACAAGTTGATAGTGTCTAGAGTCCTAGGATCTGTATGACACTTGCTTTTGGCAAGTGGCATGCAAGTTGCAACACTAATGTTTGTGTGGATATTAAGATACAAAGTGCGTGTAATAAAATGAAAGATGCTTATTCAACTTTTAGAGAAATATGTCCTTTATTCTTATTGAAGAAATAAAAGATTTTTTTAGACTTTTTGAATATGAAATGAAAATATCTCTTTCGTAGAAACTTGGACACAATTTTCTTTGCCTTGAAGCAATTTCACAAAATTTATCATATCAAATCAAGTAAGTACCATCCATAAAAAGATAAACGTCGATAAATTTATAACATATACAAAATTATAAGCCATTTCTTTAGTTTTGATAAAAATCAGATTTTTAATATATTTTGATAAAAACTCATGAAATATGTAATTAAAAAATTGTAAATCTCCTGAAATATAGAATTAAAATGAGTTGACGTAAAAATGAATTTTAAAAAATAGAGATCAAACATGGAATAAGTTCAAAAGAATGTGACACGACAAACATAACAAATCATTAATTGTATATCTTTTGAAGAGTAATATATAGTCATGGTCTCTATCTCTCAAAGGTTGTTATAAGTATTTTTGACTCTGAGCGTAATATAAGATTAAACTTCTTTTCTTCTTTAATATTGATATTGTGTCTACATACTCTATCGAACATGCCACACACACACAAACTAATCAGCCAAGTTGAAGGTATTTACCTCTCCTGTTAAGTCTTTGGTTATAATCCATTTATCCAATAACTCATTATTGGCTCTTTTCTCTTGCAAAAATTTGGCTGAGAATTTCTTTGCTTCTGCAAGTATGTTTTCTCCTGGAAACATTACCTGAGAAGCCCTATACAGATTATACATTCCTGTAACAGCCTGGTTCGACTGTCCAGCGAAACAGAAGAACTTTCCACCATTCTCAAAGTGTTTGAATACATCTGTCATTTACAAAGGGAAAAAATGAACATGGTTTTACGTTAATTTTCTCCTTCTAGTGCTCAATAGGACAGGAATATCGTAGAATGAACCAGATTTTTACTTAGTTTTTTCATTTATTACCTGCAGAAACTTCGTATCCATGCAACCTCAGAAGTCTGAAACCCATTGCCGTGTCATCAATGTCCTGAACTTCAGAATTTCTTGCCCAGCAGATTCCTTTATTTGTCCAATACCTGAATTTTGTGGTTTATTATTAACTCAATGCCGGCATGCAATTTGTTTTAAGTTAATAGGTTACTTATAAGTTAGAAAGAGTACCTGTGAACGTACTCCATACATTCCTCAATTTCTTTCTGGAAAAACCGAGAAATTCCTAGTCGTTGCAACCGGTCTACAGCCCAAATGTGCTCGAACAAGTCCACAGGATAGACATTGGGAACTGAAAATAAAAATAAATATTACAAAAATAAGTATAAACCAACAGGAAATATTTTCAAAAGAATATTATACAAACCCGACTTTTTTCACCTCCGCCGTTAAATTTTTTGACAGCTTTCGTTAGATATTTGAGGCAATTATCATCTTTAGTCTGCTGGAGTGCAAAGGCAGTGGAGGATGGTGAAAACAGAAATGAGCCATCTGAAGACTGTAATTTTAATAACTTTTGCCAATCCAAGTCTGGCATTCCTTCCAGGCTATGGAGTATTGTAGTCGGTACCTTGTGCATTATGTCTTTCGGTATCCTATGAAATATGTGATAAAAATTAATTATTGATTTTGACTAGAAATTTTAACCTAGACCAAACAGGGCATAAGAAGCATTAGAGCTACATTGTACAATGAAGTAGGAGGCCCACTAGACTAGACTGGTGATAAATAATAACATTACTCTAGGTACACACAAATAAGAATTTAACTTTTCTTCTTCTTCTTCTTTAATGTTATCCATTGTTGTTGAGTCCAACAGACCAAGTTTGATAACGGATAAGAAGAAGATGCTAAACTTGTTTATCAAGCTATCAAGTACCCCTACCTTTTGAGCTTTAAACTTCGTTTAGCATAGATTTCTTTCAAGACTGGAGAGTCATATGGAATATCAATTTCTAGCTTTTTGGCTATTCCAATTAGTGATGGAAATGCCAGTTCGAACCCAATAGGCATATGCTCAGCATTTTCATCTTCAAGCTTGTCCATATTTTCTCTGATAAATTTTATCCCTACATATCACATGAAAATCACTTAAAAATCACCAAACAAACTTATATGCCTATTATACGAGCATATCATCATGATTCGTAAGACAATATTGTTTAAAACGCATAATCTTCAATATTAAGTTATTATGTAAGCCATAACAGCCTCATGTGATGTCTGGATCCATTTTTTTTTTCAATAAAAATAGGGTCCGTGACACTATGATAGTTCAGCATCTCATATAAAAGTTTAAGGTGATAAAATGAGGCGAAAGCCGTATTAATTTTGTCTTCAATATAAATTAAATGCATCATGATTATGTGTTTGAAACACTAGTCATGCTCAATACTATTTATGATCAGCTCATGTTTGAGTCCCTTTTTTTAGAATAAATTTTGTAAAAGCGAATGATTAGATTCATTTCGGATAAATAGATTATGTCAAAAGATTGTGTTACCTTTTTCACTTTTGTCAGGGTGCATGTTCCATGATCTCAATGCAACTACACATGCTAATGTGTTAATTATCCTGTCATGAGCCGTAAAGGTGGCCATGTCGCCCCATGAACCATCATCGAGCTGGTGATTCACAATCCAATAAAGGCTGCTAGGGAATTGGGGTGCACCACTTCCACCTATATCTTCCACCAGAGCCACCCAAGCCGTGTCGTAAGCCGATACACTTATTTCTCCATCTTCCATAGAACATAACATCCATCGTATCGATTCTACGAGTTCCCTTATCCTGTCCTCTGTCTTCGTTTCCTATTTTTTTCACGATCGAAATCAAATTTTGCTAAAAAATAAAAATAAAAATGAAATAAAACCCACAAAATTTAAATTTAACCACCTTAAGAGGATCTTTTTCTGTGTCATCCTCCACAATTTCCGGCCATTTTATCACTTGAAAATCATTTCGAAGCACATCTGTGTATCCTGCATTTGTATATTTTCATCGCATAAAGGTTTGACTCAAAAAACATATTTTTTTTCTTTAAAAATCCTTAAAAATTATACCTTGGGCACGGGATTTGGACACAGCTTTGCATTGAAGAAGTGAAGTAGATATAACCTGTTTCCAGGAGGGCCATATACCTACAATAATTCTTGGTTTAATTATACTTTTTAATTCGAATAATCGAACAAGAAGAAAAACAAAGGAAACGATACATGGAATTAGTTATATTTTAACTTTATTCCGATGAAAATCAAATGATTCAGGATGAACTTTTAACCCTTTCAAGAAAGCAAAATTAGCTCTTGAGTTGACAGCATAATTCAATAAAATATAAACAGAACTTCTGATGCAGGGAAATGATCATTGAACTCGGATCACGGAGAATTGTACCACCAAAAGAAGCTCAAAAACTTACCAGAAGTGGTGGCAGGACATAAAAAAGTAGTGGCCGGAATATGTAGCGGCGCGGTGGTGGTGGTGGATGATCGGAGGAGAAAGATTGAAGAGAAAGTGAGTGAAATTGACATGTTGTTTTACGAGGTGGATTATGAGCAGAAAGTGGAAAAAGTGGGAGGGGGTTTAAATGGATAGAGAGGGAAAGGAAGCAGACGGAAACTACTTCCCAAGATATTCCCGCAAATGGGTGCATGGAATCATCCAAATTCATCAAAATGAGGGCAGTCATGTCCTTTTCTTAATTTCTAATCATATTTATTTTTTCTTTTCCTAGCTAATATGTCATTTCTTCTAGACCTCTTATGTACCAACCAATCAATTTCTCACCAATTTTCTTCCAGAACAATGCTATAAGTACAAATTTTTTTTTTTTTACAGAATTTGTACAGAAAAATTGTAGTCTTTCTTTAATTGGCTATTGCCAAAAACAGTTTTCGACAACAACAAATTACAGGAAGATAAGTGTCTTTTTGTACCAATTCTGTTAAAAAAAATATGTACTTGCAGATTAATTGTTTCTTCCAATGCCAAGAAAAGTAGAGATTATACATGTTTGACTACATTTAAAATTCAATCATGCAATAACGACATAATGATTGACATAATTCATGACATAATGCTACATTACATCCAATCATTAAAAAATTTAAAATACAGTCAAATTTTTTATCCACCCTCACATACACATATGTTAATATCTCTATCATATTTCTTCCATCAAAATAGATTAATTCTTTAAAAGCTTTCTTTTTAAGTAGAAGTGTTAAATGAATCGAGTATAACTACCCAACTTGATCCATATTGCGAGCTAGCTCGGGCTCACTTTACAAAATTTTGGCTTGACTCAACCTACCAACTCGTCTCTTGTTAGGGCGATTCAAAATATCCTTATTGTTTTGTATTTAATAGTCTACATTTTATCGATCCTTCAAGCTCATTAGAATCTTACACGTATCTTCCTTCAACGTGCTTCTCTCGTTTGACACAACATCCACCATTAGTAGAACGACCTTCAATGTTTTAATTGACATCAAATCCATTCCTTTGAATTGTTATTGCACATTCATATTCACTACATTGAATCTAGAAGCTACATATACATACATATGTGATGAAGTCTTTCCTTTCAAATCAATTGTCAACAATATCTATTTCTTTCACCATCGTAAGGTATTAAGCCCCCATCTGAAAATCATTGTTTTCAAATTATTTTTTCTACATAATTATTTTTAATCACGTATTCATATAATAAAATGTCCTGCACATAAATTTAAAATTTTTGTGAAGGGATAAAATTTCACATTGAGCGTGTGTTTGGCCCCCCATTCGTTCCAATTTTTTCACTTATTTTCATAATTTGTGGTCACCATGTTTGAAATTGTTGCGTCAACCAGACCTAGACGGACGTCTTTTTTAACGTTTCAACGGACAGGTCCACATACAATTTACCCAATGTTCCAAAATTGCCATTGACATGTTATTATAGGAAATGGTGTCAATAGACTTGGTATGGTGAGGGTAAATTAGCCCAATCAATTTCCAACGATTCAATGGGCAAACTAAAGTCTGACACAGCAGTTCAACTTTTGCATTTTTTATTAATTGTTCACTGTAGATTAATGAGATTTTGGACCAAAAAAAACTCATTAAAATGAGCTCCAAACAGGGGCAGAATAAAGATGAAAATATGGATCACCTCATAAGATTAATTATTCCATCAAAATAGATTAATTCTTTAAGAGCTTTCTTTTTAAGTAGAAGTGTTAAATGAATCGAGTATAACTACCCAACTTGATCCATATTGCAAGTTAGCTTGGGCTCACTTTACAAAATTTTGGCTTGACTCAACCTACCAACTCGTCTCTTGTTAGGGCGATTCAAAGTATCCATATTGTCTTATATTTAATAGTCTACATTTTATCAATCCTTCAAGCTCATTAGAATCTTACAAATATCTTCTTTCAACATGCTTCTCTCGTTTGACACGACATCCACCATTAGTAGAACGACCTTCAATGTTTTAATTGACATCAAAGCCATTCTTTCATATTGTTACTGCACATTCATATTCACTACATTGAATCTAGAAGCTACATATACATACATATGTGATGAAGTCTTTTCTTTCAAATCAATTGTCAACAATATCTATTTCTTTCACCATCGTAAGCTATTAAGCCCCCATCTGAAAATCATTATTTTCAAAATCTTTTTTCTACATAATTATTTTTAATCACGTATTCATATAATAAAATGTCCTGCACATAAATTTAAAATTTTTGTGAAGGGATAAAATTTCACATTGAGCGTGTGTTTGGCCCCCATTCGTTCCAATTTTTTCACTCATTTTCATAATTTGTGGTCACCATGTCTGAAATTGTTGCATCAATTTGACCTAGATGGACGTCTTTTTTAACTTTTTCAACGGACAGGTCCACATACAATTCACCCAATGTTCCAAAATTGCCATTGACATATTATTATAGGAAATGGTGTCAACGGACTTGGCATGTGAGGGTAAATTGGCCCAATCAATTTCCAACAATGGGCAAACTAAAGTTTGACACATCAGTTCAACTTTTGCATTTTTTTATTAATTTTCACGGTAGATTAATGAGATTTTGGACAAAAAAAACTCATTAAAATAAGCTCCAAACAAGGGCAGAATAAAGATGAAAAAATGGATCAACTTATAAAAGATTGGACGACTACTCTTAATAAGATTGACATTTTAAGATGAAATTTCAAATCTTTAGCATAGTATCGGAGTCTATTAAACTCTAACGAGCAATTCGATCCGATTAAAATTCAAAAAATGAGCACATGAAACTTGCATCGGTATCTCAATTTCAATTCAAACATGGGTTTGATTCACACTTCATGTTATGAGAAATATTTACCATCCGAAAAGAGGAAAAAATAGAGTCTTTATCTAAAGAAATACGTTGAGAAATGGCAAATGTATAGAAGAGATAGTACTTTTTCAACTCTCTCAAAATGGAATCTATTCCATACATATTTGCCATTGTTCCTTAATTCGACAGGGTACAAATATCTAAATTTGATATTTTTAGATACTTTTTCAGACCTATTGTCGACACTAAGTAACAATAAAAAATTTGTATCCATTTTTCATGATATTATGCATGGATCAGGTATATCATGGTGAATTTTTCTGAAAAAATTGTGTCTTCCACAATGGAATCTGATAAGTGAGATTTCGAGTAAGTGTTTATATAGTCTTCTTCTGTCCGAAGAAATGATTCATCGAAATAATGAGTCACCATTGATATCGATACATCTGAGATCGTCAAATGTTTGGAAGTTCCTCTATTCAATCCCACTAAACTATACCTGCTACAATACGATTATTGTGTACAAATGGACTTTTTGTCGAACAGGATAATTGGCATGATCAAGATATGATTGAATCATCAAAGAATCATTAGAATTAGAGTGTTGAAATTTTTTTGGGGGGGGGGGGTTTAAAATTTAATGAGACTTTGAAAGTAGGGTTCATTTTATTTATATTAAATAACTAAAGTTTTATTTTTTGCTTAAGAAGTTTTGATAGTTACGGATCACAAAAAACACTACTCCTCTTAATAATATTGATTTTTTAAGAAGGAAGCTCAAGTATTTAACAAATTTTTTCTATTTTTTAACCACATGTTATCCAAAAAATATTATTCAAAATTCTTTTTTCTCCAATAATGATTTTCAAACAGAGACTAAAGCGCTTACATATGTTGTTAGCTTTCCTCCTGCTGCTCGATAAGAAACTACGGGTACCACTTGTGACATCACAAGTTTCAAACATGGATCCACAAAACTTTTTCAAGCTAACGATTAACTCTCATCAGACTTAGTAATTGACCTTTGTCTCAGATATTAATTCTTTATTTATTTTATTGTTCAATAATACATACAAAATATGATTAGGATTGTGAAGGAACGATTCCATCTAACATAGCTTTAAGGAAAAAACAGAATTTTATAAACATTTTTTCAACAATATGTGAAAGATTGACATACAAAATAATATTTACGTTGTGGTGCATTTGATAAAACAACAAAAGAAAAGTACAAATTAAGACCAATCAAGAAAACAATAAAAGCATATGTTTTCAAGTCTACGATGGCATCTTTCATTTCCTAGGTCGTCCTGATGCTTTCAAGTTTGTCCAAAAAATAATTAATTTAGTTAGATATTATAATAATTTCGACTAGAGACTATCAAAATACGTGGATCTATCCTAAATAAATATTGGAGTGTTTTGGAAGAATTATAGATAGATGGGTCCAACTGGTAAAATGGTTTTTAGCATGTTAGAACTACTTAAAAATAACTTGAGTATTTTTAAATTTTTAGATAGTACGCACATGCAAAGTACTTAAAAAAATGTGTTTTTAATAACTATGATCCATAAGCTCTTTCTTTTCTAGTTGACGTCATTGTACCTTTACTGTTTGATTGTAAATGTGGAAAAAGCAAATCAATTTTATGTAAGTTGAAAAAGAAAAATCCCCCAAAATCATAGGAATGCATTTTTCACCCAATTAGCCAAAAACACGCTCTAAGTATTTGTACCTTGAAATTTGAACTTTATTTTCACTTTCGTATCAAACAGTCAAAGTAAAAAATGAATTCCTCGAATGTGACATTTTCCATGAAATTGAAGCCAATCAAACGGACCCTTTATTTCTTTTTGTATTCTTGCTTTTCATAAAGTTACTAAGCAAGAAATCTAACATATATCCTCATTAGTAAGCTAAAATATCAAAGAAAATCATAAAAGTTTTTCAAGAAGGCTCGAATAAAAACGAAGTTAACATTGACATCTAATTTAACGAGAAGTTTCATATTATTAGATACATATTTAAATTCCTTAAAAAAAATGAAAGTCTCTTGCTCGCATCCATTCTCCATCACACCGTCGGAACAAAAATATCGAATGCAGCGCTATAGAAATGTTTGGTACATGAATCGCTTCAATTAATATTGATTTTGGTGCACAGAATATTGTAACAACTTTGTGTAATCTATCTTATATTTTGTAGGTCAATTAGTTTAACATGTATGCCAATAAATGTTGGAATAAGGAACTATCAAAATGGAATTTTGTTTAGATCCTTGTTAGGTAAAACCAAAAGCTTGCTA